ATGATTTCATTTTAAATTGTCGTTTACTGCTCAGAATTTTACTGGAGGAAAGAAATGATGGTGAGTAAAGCGGAGAAAAACAACAATTTATCAACATTTGCAAAAACACCACCAGATACACAGAGAGCTGCATTACGTCTTTTCTTTTCTTGTGTTTTGTGTTTCAGGATTAAATCGGGATCAAGTAAATGTGCTCAAGAAGCATTAAAAAAGCAGATTTAAATCCATACAATTTAATACATTACATCATAATGCACATGGTCAAGGAGTGACAAGTTAGTAATAAACACTGTGTGTGTGTGTGTGTGTGTGTGTGTGTTTTATAGTAAAATACTAAGTGGTGTGATGAAGTGAAGTTACTGTTATCACCCTGAACTTGATTATTTTCCTCTAACAGCACGACTCCAAATGTTTTATTCCTCTTGCACCACAGCAATGTATCAACAATTACAATTTTTTATTTTATTATAAAACAACACAACATTCTTTTTATCTGTTTATAGTTACATTTAATGTTGTGGAATGTTAGAGAAACATGTTAGTTCCTGTTGTCACTAACGTTATAGCAGCTATAAACAGTCGTTCCCTCTCTTTTTTCTCTCTGTTGAAGTTAATAAGACAGAAAAAGCTGAGATGAAGATACTTTACGTTTTTGCTCTTGTTTAGTCAGAATCAATCTTTCTGAGCTGCACTACGAGATGATCATATTAAACTGAGATTATGCAGATGATTTGATGCTATTTATAACCAACACTACGCATATAAACCAAACGTACACTGATGGAATTTTTATAGTTGTGTTTTTTTCCATCTCCGCTGAACATGAACACATTTACACATCGTTCAGCCTGGAGATGGAAAAGCAGCATACACACTGCACACATCTCGCTCAGCTCTCCTGAGACACTTTTTGTTTCCTGTAATTTCCTTTCTTTCTAAATGTCTGAGCCTCCACGTCTCGAAAAGAAAGAAGGAAAAACGCTTTCTCCTCTGCTGCCATTTAGTCTGATCGTTTCTTTCCTGAAGCGATGCTCTGCGAGTGGATAATAATTTACTTTCAGCGTAATAAATTATCAAAGCAGCTTTTAATGACGTGATTATAAATTGCCCCATTCCAGCAGGGTTATTAATGGACAGGCCTTTAACATCGTTTCTGAAAATCGAACACTTGTTCTCCATTAACGTTGAAATGGTTTCCGTCTGCTCTTATAGCGTCTATCAGCGTGGCTTCAAATGCAAAAACACGATAAACCAAAATAAGAATTAAGGAATATTTTGACAGGAAAAAAAAACATTATAATTGGATGTTGAGAATGTTTTCATTTTTTGCCGAGACGTATATAAATTTACATCAGATTTACTTTTAGTAATTTAACAGATGCTTTTAGAGGTTGTAGTTGTATACAATATAATCAAAAAAATCATATAAAAATCCCTTTCCTGGATGCAGTTGTTGCTCGGGTGAAAAGAGGTTGAGTTTGTTGGAAAGAAGTAGCTTCAAACATATTCCTAACTCCCATTTACCGTATATATAGTGCTCACAATGTCAGCACATAAATGCGAAATCTCTAGTGTCTTATCCTGAAGATAAATGATCAGGGGCTTTAATAGATTAAACTGAATCAGAATGCATTCATTTTCAGGTCTTCTAGCTTTGTTTCTTCATTTCATAGTTTTATTTTTAGCTTCATTATCTGCTGCTTTCCAGTTTCTCTCATGCCACTGAACTTTGGGAGAAGCGTAATTGTGACTGAGACACGATTTAACAGTGGTGAAGGATGACACTCAGCTTTGAGAAAGCTCATATTCTGATTGTGGGATTAATTAATTTGTCACATTGCATGCCAGCTTACTAGCTTGTTAGCATGACTGATTGAGATTCGGTCTTTGTGTGTAAGAGAGAAGGGGAATCAAACGAGCTTTCTGCCGTGTGATATAAATTGCGAGAGAGGAATGAATATATTTCCGTGTTTAATTAAACACGATCTGCAGACTGTAGCGGTAATTACAGAGCCAATGCTGTGTCTACACATTTATCTCTTCTTTATTATTTAACTGCCTTTTCTTAAAACCAGACTCAACGCCATATGTCTGTTACCATGAAACATTAGAAAATGAGAGAATATTCTACTATTAGAATATGGAAAAAAATTACATCATATTACACATTTTATAACAACAAGCCATAATCATTATTTAAGTTAAATTAGGACCTTTACAGACCAAAAGCAAATGTTTATCCCAGGATGCTGCTGTTGAATCCTGGATTCTGATTGGTCAGAAGGTGTTGATTAGTTTTCTTTAACAGCAGCTCTGACATTAGTGCATTAATGCACTTGTTCTAATACATTATCATTTCTATAGTAACAGGAACTAACTTTGAACATTTCACAACGTTAAATAAAATTGTAAACAGATAAAACATATGATGTCTCATTCTTTAATAAATATAAAACTGTAATTGTTGGCATATTTCTGTGGTATAAGTGGAATAAAACACTTCTGGACGTGTGCTGTTATACGATAATCAACTTGCCATTCATTATTAAATGTTTTATTACTTACGTAATGTCGAAGCTAGCAGTTTTAGATTAGTAGAATTTTTAATCAATATTACAATTCTAGGAACTTTCAATCTGTCAAGTTTTATGATAAAATTTTTATACAGTATAATGTTTCTAAACATTTCCACGACGCTGCTGCAACATTTTTAGTTTATCCCAGAAGCTTTCATGATGATCTTTTGTGTCTTGATGGAAACATTGTGTGAGCAACAATAATGTTCTAATAACATTCTGAAGGAAAACAGAATCATAGGATATAATTTTAGAACATTGCAGTCAAATATCTGAATGAACGCTCTGATGTGGTTCTCTGACGCTGGGAAACGCTTTAGTCAGGTCCAGATGTGTCTGAAATTAACGCTCAATTTACTAATGTTGTAGCTCATCAGGCTAACTGTGTCTGAGACTCGTCTACTACTCTGGTCTCCTATTATTTTATTATGAATGAAAGATTTTTATCAGAAGTGTAGTTGATCAAAAAACATGTCGCATCTTATTAAAGTGCATTATAGTCATTATAATTAAATTAATTAAATTAAATTAAATTTCCTGGTGCTTTAAGTTTAGAAATAAATCTGTGGAATATAAAGTTAGTTGTGGATTCTGTTGAGACTCTGAATCATTTGCTATAAATGCTATATAATCATCAAGTCATGTTTGATTATAATAACCTTATCATTCCGTCTTCGGATAATTACCTTAAAAGCCTGCGTGAGTCTCTGATCAGCACACTTTGTTTTGTTTTTGGATGGAAATTAAGACTGACTGCACAGGAATAAATTACCCACAATTCCTTTAGATGGTGTTTATTTGAGCATGTCATCCATATCGTCGCCCCTCACTCAAGGTTCTGGCAAAACTTACAGAAAAAAAAAACAATATTTTCCCTTTATATGAGAAACATTTCTCGAGTGACCTTCAGCAAATGGCACAGTCTCGGGAAACAGCTGCTGGACAGATGGAGAAAGGAAAAAACACCACTTGCCCTCCGACTATGTCCCTAACGTCTCTAAATCCCTACAGCCTTCACATGCTGAATGAAAATAGGAGGAAAGTGTGTGAGGTCGCAGAGCAATAAAATATGAAATTTTATATTTTGCATGTCGTCTTTGTGAACGGCAGTGAAGGAAATTCTCCTGAGGCGTCACCACACAATCACGAGCTAAAATGGTGATGAACTTTTGTTCCACAAAGCAACGTGCTTATGTGATTTTGCGTACCATCAGACGCAGATGTGATGTTATAGTGTAATAGCTCTCAAAAATGAGCAATGATTTTAAAATAATTTTCCTTGAACATTTACACACTTATTTTCCTTAATATTCTGTACAGAGTCATATCGGCTTGATTAGCTATAATACTTAGCATTCTAACGAACTTATTTTCAATAATTCTTTCCCTTTTTTTTAAGGAAGTAACTGGTTTTAGAAACCGCATCAGATTACAGTGTCTTCTGTCTAAATTGTGCGTCAGTGAGTCTACAATGATGTTAACTCAATCCTCCTCACCTAACATTTATCTAATTCCTTAATATGGCCATGAGGATTCAACCAAGGATCAGTTGAGAGGAGAACTAGATGAGTGAATTTGGAATTTGCCTCACTCCACACTTTATTAATACGTTGGTCCATTAGATTTAATAACTTCACAAAAATATGCCTTCATAGTGAAGTATAAATGTAAGATGTGAAATTAAGCTGAATGTCATGGCTTTTAAAACCTCCACATTTTTCTCGGAGAAGGTTTAGATATTTTATTATCTGTACTAACAATGAAGAGCTAAGGATTGGATCTGCTTGGTAACAACACTTTTCTTTCAGTCTATCTTTCAAAAAGAACATTAAACCATCAAAATATATTTGGTTACATCTTCGTCTATCCCTTGGTTAAGCTGGTTTCCCTTTTGCTAATCATTATACACAGTTGCATGCTCCTTTTGTCATATGTTATGGATCAGTCACCTTTTGTTTTTCTTTTTTTGTGGACTCATGCACTGCATATGAGATAAAAATATTGGTTTCTGCTCTTGGAGTTCCTCTAAGTTCTATCTGGTAGATGGTTCTGTAGATGGAATTATGTACTGTATACAACTAGTATAATTACAAGTTAGATCCTGACATGGTTTAGCCATAGCGTTTATTCACCCGAAAAAGACAATAAAGACATGCTGTAGCTCATGGCACTGGTTGCTTTCACTTTGTGCAGACTTGGCAGGGGTTTGGTTCTAGTCATTAAAAAGTGCAAGGAATGTCGTTTATCATTTATGCTGTTAGCATACTGGTGTCTCATCCACCAATATACACTAAATTTTTGTGGCAAAATTGTTTTTCTCTCTGCCTGCTAGCATTTGAATGTTAGTAATATTGGCACCTCAGTAGACCTAGACACAAAGGAACATTACAATTTGTAGATATTATTGATCCTTATGATTCTGAGTCCCTAGAGGACTAGTGGTTAAGCCTCGGCACACTCGCTGCCACGGCCAGGGTTCGATACCCGGCCAGGGAACCAGCCACTGGGGTTGCACAATACAGTGCACTTCCAGTGACGGACCCAAGCCAGAATAAAACTGAGGAGGGTTGCGTCAGGAAGGGCATCTGGCATAAAACCTGTGCCAAATCAAATAGTGGACCAATGATCCACTGTGGTGACCCCTAACAAGAGCAGCCGAAAGAACAACAACATCGATCCTAGTGATTCTATAGTTTTTGGCTACTCTTGATCTGCTTACTTGACAGCAGGATTTCCTGGAAATAGGCTGGACTACTAATGACCTTTCTTCCTGCATGTGCCTGGGTTGTTATTTCACCAACATTGAGAGCCCCCTCAACAAAACCAAGCGCTCTACATCACCTCCAATGGCTGATCCATGCTCCTTCCAAGTGCTAGTATTCCCAAAGGGAAAATGTATCGTCTGTCGGTCCCTGAATCAGAGGCCTTAGATCAATACATAGAGGAAGCTTTTAAGCAGGATAAAATTTGACCATCTACTTCACATGACCTATACGTTATATCCCTTTACAGGTAATAGGACTATGAACAATGTCAAAGCTAAAGATGAATATTCTCTACTATTGCTGTCACCTACCAAGCTTGACTTCATTACCTCTTGGGAAGAAATTCTCGGATATGTCATATGTTCACACCTCACAGATCTTTAAATATACTGTATGTGTGGCAACGTTAGTGCAAATTTATGTTATTCTGCCAGCCTGAAATAACACATTACTTAACGCATGTTCATAAATCCTCAAGAGTACAATCTGTGTGCCAAGGCTGAGATGTGACACCATGTCCTCATGTCTTCTGCAGCTCAATTCATATATGCCTTTTTATAGAGTCACGGAAATCTTTATGTCTGCTCCGATCTGATAGGGAATAATACGGCTGCATACAAGACAAAAATCTGGCTTCTAATCTTGGAGCACATCCAAGTACCATGATCACTGTAACCCACTAGATAAGATCCAGGACCAGTGGAGGGTAGCTTGAACATTGTGGCAGACTGCTGACCTTCACACATTTTGCCTGAGAGCTCCGCATTTTAACACTGGAGTACACCTGAACGCAAAATAAATTACGCCAAAAGATCAGTCTTCTTTTTTTGCCAATAAAAAGAGCAGATGAGCCAAATGACATATGAATCTTTAATGACTAACAGTTGTGAGGGTGTTTTGAAATCTCCGATATTAACTGACCCCCTCTGGAAGCCCCGCCCCCTTCTGCCTATCTCATAATAGTAACATTTCAGCTAATGCTATCATCTTGACTAGATTTTTCCACTTGAATCTTTTTCAACTTCTGGCTGAAAACCCCAGTAAGAAGCAACAAGCTTGGAGGAATTGGTGATCACTGATTAATGGTCAGACTGATTAGCAGTGCAGAGTTTTTCCCCAAGATGTAATATTTTACTGTCCATGCTCTAAAATACTAAAGCAAATGCTATCTCTTGACCGACTGATCTTACTAACAAGTTCTTTTCCCCTCTTATGTATAGTGATGGCAGTTTGTGGGGATAGAGTGAAATGATAGAGTGTGAAGAAGCTCTTCAGTGAGAGACTTCCAGCAGAAGACCATGACTTCTACAGTGGATTGACATGTTTTTCAGTTCTGGTCATTCAGGTATGAGTAACCACTGAATCTGAGAAATTCTGGTGTCTCGTGGTGTTGTTTTTGTGCCAATAACAACCTTTTTATTATTTTATGCCTTACTTTCTGCTTTGGTTAAGGCTAGAAATATGAAGGTAACTCATTCAGGAGTCGAAATTTACCCTTCAGCATTATAAAAAAATGAACGACACCCAGATGTTTCATTCAGGCTGTTTAGATGAAGAAGTGTGGTTTGTAGCTGTTTTATTATTTTATTATTATTGATCTATACCTAAACATATAGAAGGATGTCTTGTTCACCCTGTTCAACTTGGGACTTATATTTGCTCATGTGAAAAACAAAACAAAAATCTCATACAGAAATAGTATATTTATTGCCACATTTTCCAGCTCCATTCAGAGGCAATACTGGGGCGTAAATCATTCTGAGTCTCTGCAGTAAATGTGGGTTTGTGCTGTTTTCATGTATTTTTTTTATCCAGGGTTAATATTTAAATATTAATATTGCACCAGGAAGGAAAGATGAGAAATGAATCTGGTTTAGAGTTTCCCTTTGTTACGGATGCAGTCAGAGTGATGAAAGGCTGCAGGATTTTTAGGGCACTTAGATATCGAGACTGCATGCTTGCACAGATTCAGAGAGTCAAGTTTCTGGCTAATCATTAAATGCTGTTATGAAAAACCTGGGTGTTTCTCTTCCTGGATGTTTTCCTTGCTTCCTGCTCTGACACATTTCTGCAGATCACACATATTCCTCCTTAGTCTCATTATATTTCATTAGTCATCGTTCACAGATTGCTTGGGAACATCTGAGGATCCCCTGGAAGGAATCACCACGACCCCACCAGTAAAAGTGTAAAGGAAATTAATGAATGAATGAATGTTTGTCGTGGATGTTCTTTCTTCCTTATCATTACACACTAGCAAGAGACCCTAGCAAGAGACCAAGTGACAGTTCATTTTCTACATACATGTGCAACAAGGAGCTGCAATTTCAGCAACATTTGAGATAAGATTTTCTCAGTCCTTTCCAAATTAGGTATGACACAGTAAAGAGACAAATCCAAATGATCAGCTCAAATGATTCCTTGGACCAGTCCTATGGTGCATGTGGTCCAATGGTTCTTCAGTTCCCCACTCACAACTTTAGTTCCTACCTGCAATTAGTTCCTATTTACTGTTTGATGCAAAAATGGAAGAACAACTTATAACTGTAGTTTCATCTTATCCTGTCATATACACACTCTCAGTAAATGTGTAAAGAGACATTAAGAAGAAAAATAAAGCTTGGAAGGGAGTAGCAGAGATCTGGTGAGTGTACGTAGCTAGTAGAATTAGCTTGCCCTGCTAATCTGAATATATGAATCTGAGCATGTAACATGTAAATTAACCAATATTCAGACTGATTAGTGCATTATTTAATGTGTGTTTAACTAGTTAGCTTTAGAAACTATATATAGTTACTACTGTTTCTCATCAGAACTAAATTAATGCTGGTGACAGGAATGAGTTTTTTGTTTGCCAGTGTGGACATCAGTCTTTTTCTTCTCCAGCGTCATTCCGAGACTCCGTTTCTTCTCCAGCGTCATTCCGAGACTCTGCGTTTGCTCCAGCATCATTCCGAGACTCTGTTTCTTCTCCAGCGTCATTCCGAGACTCCGTTTTTTCTCCAGTCTCATTCCGAGACCCTGTTTCTGCTCCAGCATCATTCCGAGACCCTGTTTCTGCTCCAGCATCATTCCGAGACCCTGTTTCTTCTCCAGTCTCATTCCGAGACCCTGTTTCTGCTCCAGTCTCATTCCGAGACTGTGATTCTTCTCCAATGTTATTCTGAGGTTCTGCTTCTGCTCCAGTGTCATTCCGAGACTCTGCTTCTTCTTTTTGGTCATTCCAAGGTTCTGCTTGTCCTGTGTAATTTCAAGGTTTTGCTTCTTGTTCAGTGTTATCCTGAAGTTTTGATTCTTCTCCTGAGTCATTCTAAGACTCTGATTTTTCTCCAGGGTCAGTTGAAGGTTCTGCTTCTTCTCCTATGTTAGTCTGAGGTCCTTCTTCTTTTCCTGCGTCATTCCAGAACTTTTCCTGCTGGTCCTATCCCAAAGTCTCTTATCTAGTTCTGCTCATTATCTCTCACTGGCACTGACCATGATCAGATCTTAGTGTCTTTCTCTGCTCCTGTCACTTATTCTTTCACTTATTTGGTCAATCTCAGCTCTTACTCTAATGTCAGTCAAGAGTGCCAGCTCCAGCCTCATTTTCTGATCTAGATCTGTCTCTATTGCTGTCTCTAACCTTGTTCCAATCAGCATCTCAGATCTGGGTCTAGCCATGGTCCTGTCTTTCAGTCCTCAGTCATCTGTTTGTTTTAGGTCCTGGATGCTGACTCAGGCTTATTCTAGCTCCTTTGTTTAGCGCTGATATTTTTGGATTTTGACCTCACCTGAGTGTCTGCCTGTTCTCTGACTGCTGTCATAGAATACGACCATGATTCGACAAGCGTCAAGAAATTTCCACTAAAATTACTTCCTGATGTTGTACTCCACTACCACAGAGAAAATATTCCGGCTCTTGTGATATAATATGGTCTTCACCGCAGTCATTTACAAGCCACTTACTGCTGTTTGAATGAATTTGTGTAATATGAGTTTTATGACCTTCTTTTTTCTCTCTTGCTTTTTCTTTGCTTTTTTTATAGCTTATGTAATTATGCTTTGGGTGAAAGAGTGGAACAATATTACATCATATTGCAGCATCGTTAACATTTGGTCTAATAAAGTGAATTTGAGTGAGATCAAGTTTTCAGAAGCTCAGCTTGAAAACACCATCATTAATTAAAATGCCATCAAGCTCAGAAATCCATCAGCATTAGCGTATTTTAATCTTCCCATTGCTTCCCAGACTGTCTCATTTTAGAGCAATACAGCTCTAACAGCGATTATAAAATCCCCCAAAGGTCTTGTATTCATCTCGTTGATGATTAATCGTTTTGTATTAAAGATATTTTTCATGCTCATTGTATATGATGTTGGATAACAACTTAAACTTGGTCATTAAATGTAGAGCTCGAACTACAGATGTACTGAAAATGAAATTTGAGATTTTTGATTTATTTCCTGTTTCATCATGTGTCAATTCATTACAAATCAAACTCAATCTCTGATCACAGGATGGGTTTAAATTCACAGTTAAAGCTTTGAGCTGCAGTGCTGAATTCTGGATTGTGATTGGTCAGAAGGTGTTGATTAATTTTCTATAACAGCAGCTCTGACAGTAGCGCAGGTTTATATTAATGCACTCGTTTTAATACACTATCGTTTCTATAGTAACAGCTCTTTCAGAGGGACATGTACAGCGGACGCGTCACATGGATTAAAAAATGTGTGTAATCCTTGATATGGTGA